CACACACACACAATGCATTCCTATACATACACAGAAACACAACATGCTTCCCTTACACACAGAGAAACACACAATGCTTCCATTACACACACACACACACAATGCAACCCTTACACACAAAGACAATGCATCCTTTGCACACATACACAGAAACAGACAATGCAAACCCGTACACACGCATGCAAACACACACACTTCTTTTCTTACATACACACAGAAACACAATGCATCTCATGCACACACATACAGACACACACCTTGCATCCCTTATGCATACAAACACAGATTCACACAATGCATCCCTTACACACAATAATACATCCCTTATACACAAATACACCCTGCTTCCACTACACACAAACACACTGCATCACCTGCACAAACTGGTAACCCTAAACACTACATACCATAAGCACACATATTAGATCCTCTACAATAACACATAACACATCCCTACACACTCCACTCCCTGTGAGCGAACTCATGGGTGGGTGGAACTTATGAGTGGGCCTTATGGGCATACTCACCGTCAGGCCCTGGGGCCCAGACCTTGAGCTGTGTAAGGGGCCCCCAAAGAATTGAGCTGCTTCCAATTCTCCCAGAACATTGAATTTTGTGACCACAGTTGCAAACAGCCTCCAGAGATCCTGTTCTACACCAGACCAGTGGAGCCAAACTGCAGCCCATCATCATCCTCATCTGCTTGTAAGTAGGCAATCTAGTATATTATTAGTGACACTAATCTATAATTTACCTCACATTAAAGGGACACTATAACTTAATGAAGTGGTTCTGGTGTCTATAGCTGGTCCCTGCAGGCTTTTTAATGTAAACACACACTGTGTGCAGCACTGGCGTTAGTTCATATGGCAGATCATATGGGGGGGGCATTGTGATGTGACATGTGGGGGCAGCAAATTTTTATTTTGTCTAGGGCGGCAAAAATCCTTGCACCGGCTCTGATCCTGGGCAGGTGCACCAGTCTACTTGATGTCATATTCCGGCGCCAGTCTCATTCAGCAGCGCGCGAGGGCGGGAGGCGCCAGTCTCATTCAGCAGCGCGCGAGGGCGGGAGGGCACTAACACAGGAAGCACCTCTAGTGACCGTCTGAGTGACTGTCACTAGCAGTGTCACTTTAAATCAATGTAAACACTGCCTTTTGTCTGAAAAGTCAGTGTTTACGTTGAAAAGCCTGTAGGGACATGCTATAGACACCAGTACCACCACATTAAGCTGTGTGTGTGCGTCTGCTAGTGAGTGAGCTTGCTTGCATGCGTGTGCCTGCTAGTGAGTGAGCTTGTGTTTTTATGTCAATGAGCTGATGTATATCAGTAAGATTGTTTGTCTATGAGGCTGTGTATCAATGAGCTTGTGTGTGTCACTGAAATGTCAGTGAAATTGCCTGTGTCTGCATGTGCGTATGCTTACTGTATAATTAAACGTTTTACCCTGAAAGGACCAATATTTTATATTAGAAAAAGCAATATATATATATATATATATATATATATATATATTACTCAATCATCTGTCCTGGCAAGACATAGCCTTACATATTACACGCGACAATATATGGCGCAGTGACTTATGGGGCTGGCACAAATTTTTTTTCCAGGGCTGCTTTGTATCCCCAGTCCGGCCCTGGTCACCCCCCATCACAGTCACTAGTGACCCCCCTCCTCACTGTCACTAGTCACCCCCCTCACTGTCACTAGTCACCCCCCCGTCACTAGTCACCCCTCACTGTCACTAGTCACCCCCCTCCTCACTGTCATTAGTCAACCCCTCACTGTCAGTCACCCCCACTGTCACTAGTCACCCCTCACTGTCACTAGTCACCCCCCCCACTGTCACTAGTCACCCCCTCACTGTGTCACTAGTCACCCCCCTCACTGTGTCACAAGTCACCCCTCACTGTGTCACTAGTCACCCCTTACCTCACTCACTCTGTCACCCCTTCCCTCACTCACTCTGTCACCCCTTCCCTCCCTCACTTTGTCGCTAGTCACCCCTTCCCTCCCTCACTTTGTCACTAGTCACCCCCTCCCTCACTCTGTCACTGGTCATCCCCTCCCTCAATCTGTCACTAGTCACCCACTCACTCTAGTGACAGAGTGAGGGAGAGGGTGACTAGTGACAGAGGGAGGGGGTGACTGGTGACAGAGTTAAGGAGGGAGTGACTACTGACAGAGGGAGGGATGGGGTGACACAGTTACAGAGGGAGGGATGGGGTGACAGAGGGAGGGGGTGACTGGTGACAGAGTGAGGGAGGGGATGACTAGTGACAGAGTTAGGGAGGGAGTGACTAGTGACAGAGGGAGGGAGATGGTGACTGTCACTAGTCACCCCATCCCTCCCTCTGTCACTAGTCACTCCCTCCCTAACTCTGTCACTAGTCATCCTCTCCCTCACTCTGTCACCAGTCATCCCCTCCATCTGTCACTGTGTCACCCCATCCCTCCCTCTGTCACTAGTCACTCCCTCCTTAACTCTGTCACTAGCCACCCCTCCCTCATTCTGTCACTAGTCACCCCCTCCCTCACTAGTCACCCCCCCGTCACTAGTCACCCTCCCTCACTCTGTCACTAGTCACCCATTCCCTCCCTCACTCTGTCACTAATCACCCCCTCACTCTGTCACTAGTCACCCTCTCCCTCACTCTGTCACTAGTCACACCCTCCCTCACTCTGTCACTAGAGTGAGGGGATGACTGGTGACAGAGTGAGGGAAGGGGTGACTAGTGGCAGAGTGAGGGAAGAAAGGGGTGACTGGTGACAGAGTGAGCAGATGACTGGTGACAGAGTGAGAGAGGGGGATGACTGGTGACAGAGTGAGAGAGGGGGATGACTAGTGACAGAGTGAGTTAGGGGATGACTAGTGACAGAGTAAGGGGCGAAGGGGGTGACTAGTGACAGAAGGATGGAGGGAGTAGTGACAGAGAGAGGTGGTGACTAGTGACAGAGTGAGGGAGGTGGTGACTAGTGACAGTCACCACCTCCCTCACTCTGTCACTTGTCACCCCTTCCTCCCCTCACTCTGCCACTAGTCACCCCTTCCCTCACTCTGTCACTAGTCACCCCCTCACTCTAGTGACAGTGAGGGAGGGTGTGACTAGTGACAGAGTGAGGGAGGGGGTGACTAGTGACAGAGTGAGGGAGGGAAGTGGTGACTAGTGACAGAGTTAGGGAGGGAAGGGGTGACTAGTGACAGAGTGAGGAAGGGGGTGACTAGTGACTAGTGACAGTCACCACCTCCCTCACTCTGTCACTAGTCACCCCTTCCTTCCCTCACTCTGCCACTAGTCACCCCTTCCCTCACTCTGTCACTAGTCACCCCCTCACTCTAGTGACAGTGAGGGAGGGCGTGACTAGTGACAGAGTGAGGGAGGGCGTGACTAGTGACAGAGTGAGGGAGGGAAGTGGTGACTAGTGACAGAGTTAGGGAGGGAAGGGGTGACTAGTGACAGAGTGAGGGGCGAAGGGGGTGACTAGTGACAGAAGGAGGGAGGGAGTAGTGACAACGGGAGGTGGTGACTAGTGACAGAGTGAGGGAGGTGGTGACTAGTGACAGTCACCACCTCCCTCACTCTGTCACTAGTCACCCCTTCCTCCCCTCACTCTGCCACTAGTCACCCCTTCCCTCAATCTGTCACTAGTCACCCCCTCACTCTAGTGACAGTGAAGGAGGGTGTGACTAGTGACAGAGTGAGGGAGGGGGTGACTAGTGACAGAGTGAGGGAGGGAAGTGGTGACTAGTGACAGAGTTAGGGAGGGAAGGGGTGACTAGTGACAGAGTGAGGGGCGAAGGGGGTGACTAGTGACAGAAGGAGGGAGGGAGTAGTGACAACGGGAGGTGGTGACTAGTGACAGAGTGAGGGAGGTGGTGACTCGTGACAGTCACCACCTCCCTCACTCTGTCACTAGTCACCCCTTCCTCCCCTCACTCTGCCACTAGTCACCCCTTCCCTCACTCTGTCACTAGTCACCCCCTCACTCTAGTGACAGTGAAGGAGGGTATGACTAGTGACAGAGTGAGGGAGGGGGTGACTAGTGACAGAGTTAGGGAGGGAAGGGGTGACTAGTGACAGAGTGAGGAAGGGGGTGACTAGTGACAGAGGGAGGGGTGACTAGTGACTAGTGACAGTCACCACCTCCCTCACTATGTCACTAGTAACCACCTCCCTCACTCTGTCACTGTGTCACCCCCTCCCTCTGTCACTGGTCACCCACTCCCTCCCTCACTCTGTCATCAGTCACCCCTTCCTTCCCTCACTCTGTCACCTATCACCCCCTCACTCTGTCACTAGTCACCCCCTCACTCTAGTGACATAGTGAGGGAGGGTGTGACTAGTGACAGATAGAGGGAGGGGGTGACTAGTGACAGTGAGGAAGGGGGCGACTACTGACAAAGTGAGGGATGGTGTGGCTAGTGACAGAGAGAGGGAGGGAAGGGGTGACTAGTGACAGAGAGAGGGAGGGAGGGGGTGACTAGTGACAGAGTGAGGGAGGTGGTGATTAGTGACAGAGGGAGGGATGGGGTGACTAGTGACAGTCACCACCTCCTTCACTCTGTCACTGTGTCACCCCCTCCCTCACTGTGTCACCCCCTCCCTCACTCTGTCACTGTGTCACCCCCTACCTCACTCTGTCACTAGTCACCCCTTCTCTCACTCTGTCACCAGTTATCCCCTCACTCTGTCACCAGTCACCCCTTCCTTCCTTCACAGTGACAGAGTTAGGGAGGGAGTGACTAGTGACAGAGAGAGGGATGGGGGACTAGTGACAGAGTGAGGAAGGGGGTGACTAGGGACAGAGGGGGTGATTAGTGACAGAGTGAGGGAGGGGCAGGGAGGGGGTGACACAGTGACAGAGTGAGGGAGCAGGTGACACAGTGACAGAGTTAGGGAGGGAGTGACTAGTGACAGAGAGAGGGATGGGGTGACTAGTGACAGTCACCCCCTCCCTCACTCTGTCACTAGTCACTCCCTCCCTCTGTCACTAGCCACCCCCTCACTCTGTCACCAGTCATCCCCTCACTCTGTCACTAGTCATCCCCTCCCTCACTCTGTCACCAGTCATCCCCTCACTCTGTCACCAGTCACCTTCCTTCCCTCACTCTGCCACTAGTCATCCCTTCCTTCACTCTGTCACCAGTCATCCCCTCACTCTGTCACCAGTCACCCCTTCCTTCCTTCACAGTGACAGAGTTAGGGAGGGAGTGACTAGTGACAGAGAGAGGGATGGGGTGACTAGTGACTAAGTGAGGAAGGGGGTGACTAGGGACAGTGGGGTGATTAGTGACAGTGAGGGAGGGGGTGACTAGTGACAGAGGGAGGGAGGGGGTGACACAGTGACAGAGTGAGGGGGTGACTAGTGACAGAGTGAGGGAGCGGGTGACACAGTGACAGAGTTAGGGAGGGAGTGACTAGTGACAGAGAGAGGGATGGGGTGACTAGTGACAGTCACCCACTCCCTCACTCTGTCACTAGTCACTCCCTCCCTCTGTCACTAGTCACTCCCTCCCTCTGTCACTAGTCACGCCCTCACTCTGTCACCAGTCATCCCCTCACTCTGTCACTAGTCACCTCTTCCCTCCCTCACTTTGCCAATAGTCATCTCTTCCCTCCCTCACTCTGCCACTAGTCACCCATTCCCTCACTCTGTCACTAGTCACCCCCTCTCCCTCCCTCTGTCACTAGTCACCCACTTCCTCACTCTGTCACCAGTCACCCCCACTCACTGTGTCTCCCCCTCACTCTGCCACCACTCAACCCCTCCCTCCCTCACTCTGCCACCAGGTACTCCCTCACTCTGCCACCTGTCACAACCTCCCACACTCTTCCACCTGTCACCTTCTCCCTCACACACTCTGTCACATATGCATTCACACAGACACTATATACAAAAAAGCACATGTAGTCATCCAGACATGCACAAGTGTATTCACACAGACTCAAATACAAACATGCATTGATACACAGGTCTTCACAATATACACATCCAAAGGAATGCCGTATTATGCATTATATTTAACATTTATTTAATGCACATATATTTGGCCTTCAAACGGCCTGGGATCTAATTTTGCCCGGGGGCCCCAAAGGCTCTCAGTCCACCACTGGACACACTTCACCCATAGAGCATTTCACTAAGCTAATGTGCTTAAGGGGTCTTTAGGGTTCCTTTAACAATAACATATTTTGAAAATTAATGGTAATTTGCACTGCAGTGAATGTAATCTCAGCACTGGAAAAGAAAAGTTAAATACATATTTATCTGAAAAGAAAAAAAAACAAACATTTTACCCTTTTCAGGGGCTGTTACTTCTTTTTTTTTTTTTAACAATTTGCTCAAAGACAACACATTTATACATTGATAATACAGGGAGCAAATGATATGCCATGGAGTGGTGGTGGCATAGCTCCAAGATCTCTGATATTGTATCTATTTATGTCAGTGATCTGGTCTGCAGATTATGATACATTTGACAGATTCCAGAATTTATGAATCCTGGGAAAGCACTGTGTTATACAGTAACCAGGTTATATTAGGTCACTCATATACAAGGGGAGTTTATTTTTAGAGGTTACAGGGTTCCAAAGGGTCCAGTGGAGAGTGACCTTCTATTAACAACTGCATTATTGACTACAAATCTTAGTAAATGGAAATATTTTTCCACTGTTGTCACATTATCTTTTTTAAGACATAGAAGCTAAAATTAGAACTAGAAAGTTTTAAGAGTTATATTGCTTCTAGAAACACTCATTGACCTAACTATTTAAATCTAGATCAAAAGCAGAATAGATGCCCTGAAAGCTGTTTACATGGCACAGGCCAAATTGTCCAATCAACCACATGAGATGAAAATACATGTGTACAGATGCAGAACCTGGTGCCCTTGTGCATAGAAAGTATTTTTAACATAGCTCAATAACTGTGGTGTTTTAATCTCACCACAATATAGAATATGTTCACTAATCGTGGAAATAAGCAGTTAATTCATTTTGAAACATAATTTTCATCACTTCTAGAGGTATTGGATACATGACATGTCGTCTTGTT